TGTGTGCGTGTGTGTGTGTGTGCGCAGAGTGTGCAGACTGCATTACCTCACAACACAGTCTCCGATAAAAAAGTTCATCAATTTTAGATTAGTGTCAGGTTAATATTAGATTAGGGTTAGATTAAGATTAGAGTTAGATGTTTGGGTTACGATTAGAGTTTCAACTAGATAGATGATTATTATCTATTTGTACACTTCTGATAATTGATGCTATTCATCTATTTACTCCGGAGATTTTGCTGTGTCTCAACAGAGTGTTAAAATGAATATCGTTACAATATACAGATGACAACTCTGTATATTATAAATTACACTGCAATAATAGTTAATACATGTACATTAGTTTCTACTTCACCGCAGCTCAGTGTATTTGCATGCACGCGTTATAGGAGTAATGATACACCAGGCATTACCAGAAATGTGGGACATTTTGCGGCCGCGTTATGTCAGCGGAAAATCGCTTCATAATGGTTCAGAATACAAAATGGCGACCAGATCAGCCGGGAAAGGCGCTGTACCATACAGTGTTTTAAATAATTTAAGTTCAGTCGACATACTGTATTGCGAAAATAAAAAAAGAAGAAGACGTCGGATAGCTGGAGTGTTCGATGCCGAAAGATTGATAGCGCGAAGGAAGGATAAAAAGGTAAATAATTGTTTGTTTGTATTAAAAATTTAAATAGTAAATAATCTCACACTATATCATTCTATTATTTTTGTATTTATGATTTAAAAAACTATACAAGCATCTACCACGTTATCACAATACCAGTAATATTAATAGTTTTGTTTATATGAATTACGCTTGCCCCTGCGTAGTTTTTATTATATTATTTATGTTTAGGTAAAATGGAAGGGGTATAGCTCCTTTGAGAATACTTGGGAGCCAGAGGAGCACATTTCTCCAGCTTCCTTAAGGTAAGCTTCCAATAAATTCTACTACAAAGCAGGTGGCTTCTGTGAATGTTTAGTAATGACTATTAATTTGGGTTAATTAAGCAGTTATTAAGATTCTCAGGTGCAATTTTTAGTTAGTGCAAGACCAAATATCTCTTTATATGTACCAAATATGGCGACTTTCACACCCTACCGTAGCTAGGTGATATTGATTAAATCATTCAACTAGTTACTGTTATTTAAAACATATATTAGGATACATGTTTATTCTTATCTCAATCCTAGGTATTTTAGCAAGGCTTGTCCACCATCAGAGGTCATTGAGGAGTGCGTGGACAAGATGAGAATCGAGGTGATGCTCGCACCCAAGCACAAAGCGCCTGAACAAAAGTTAACGTTGGAGTTCAGACATGACGTGTATGGCTTTTTATTTAATGGGAAAGGGAAGCCAGCAGAGCAACGTGGCTGGATGCTGTTTGAGGAGAGCGACTACGAAAAATGTAAATTGCCTCCCACCTGGTTCTGTATTCATGATCAACATGGAGATGGGGCAAAAGTCAGATTCCCGGTAATGATGAGAACATTTCTAGGCCACTCACCTAGAAATTTTACTAACAAAGGTTGTGAATTCGAAATTGTGGAACTGCCTCGCTCCTTTATAGAAAAGATGTCGATAAAATTTATTAAAATTGCATCTTCTTGTTCATAGTACACCTGTACATTTGCTTAATACATTCTTTGTAAGTGGCCATAGTGATCATATAAATATTTCTTTGGTTTTTGGAAACACCACATATATTTATTATCGCAGAGCTTTCAATTATATTTATAACACTAATCATAACATTTTCATTCATCAGATGTTATTAGCACTGATGTTTCCACATACCAAAGAAATATTTATCAAAACAACAGCATACTAAATTTACACCATCTTTGCACAGGTATATTGAGATGCTGACTTAAATTGTATTCCTATAATGTAAAGGTTATGTATATACAAAACTAAACTAGCTTATTTACAGTATCCATATCAGTCACATACCTCAAATGGTTGTTTATGTACAGAAAATGTTTTCTGTTGTTTATAGATGATATATAAAGAAAATTTTGTTCAAAATTTCTTGTTCTACTTCTAATTTATTTTCATGGGATTGCTTTTGTATTGACTATAAAAGCACATATCTTTCCCCAACACACGCTACTAACTTCCAGAGGAAGGGCCTTAGCTCAAAAGGTCGAAGTTCTTTTTATATTTTTCAGGTAGTTGTGAAACTACAAAAATCTTTTTTGTTGATAATGCTACCTACACTTGGACGACAACACTAACATTTTAAACAGTGGCGTAGCCAGCTCGATGATTGGGGGTGGCGAATATTCATATATTCGTGTTCACAGACCATAAAAACAATCGATTTCAAAAGAAATTAATAATATAGAACACGAATATATGAATATTTTAATTATTGAGCTGGCTATGCCACTGATTTTAGGTCAATACACTATATGGTCTACATTGCATGGGCTACGCTGGGCTTATTGTGTATACTACAATAATGTGAATATTGTACAGGAATCTCTCCTTGGTGAGTAAGATCTTCCAGCATTTAAGGGACGGGTCATTAATTACAGAGGAGGGGGGGGGGGCTGTGTATCTTTTTTATTGCGGCGGGGTGGGGGTTCAAATAAAATTCATACTATCCACAAGGGGGGGAGGCTCCCCTGTGATTAATGACCGGTCCCTAACAGAGTAAAATGATCTAGTGGGGTTTGTTGGGAAGCATTGCAGCATAGTGGGTTAACTCGAACTCGGTGCAGAAAAGGTTACATTCTCATTCCCAGAGCCTTTCTTATGCATGGTCACGATAAGGGGGTTCTGGCCAAATCTATAACTGGTAGCAGAGAATCTGCCCGTCATAAACCTTAATAATATGCATGTGTCCAAACATACACCTCAATGGAATGGATTTCCAGATACATCTTGTTGTGACTGTGCTAAAGATAGGCTCTGCGAATGAGAATGAAAATAGTATTGCAGGTCAGCAGGTTAATGGGTAAACTTTCAAGAAGTCTTAAGTAGAGATATCAGTTCAATTTTCTTTAACTTTGAGAGCCCTCTCTGATTAAGCCCCTTGGTCTTGATCTCTTCTCTCAACTGTGCAACAGTGAAGCTATTATAATCTAGTGAACCAGTTGCCACATCAGCTGCTTCATTTTCTTCCTGAAGGATGGGAGCTTCTGTAATTTGTCTACTCTTCTTCCTATTTTGGCTGATTTCTACATCCCAGTACTGCCTGTTTCTTTTTGTATAGTTGCCTTTATTCCTTTCATGCTTCTTAAGGTCCCACTGTCTATTCTCCATAAAAAGTATATCTTTCGCAGCGTCCCACTTGTTTGATTTTTGAAATAATATTTTCTTAGCATCATCATTGTTTTTTCCACACCTTGCCCAGTGAACCTTTTGAAGCAACCATACTTCTGAATAAAAAATGGAACATGGTAACACATGATGTGCATGTATGGAGTAATCTTTGCTCTTGTATACCCAGTTCGAAACTGTCTTATCGAGCAGAATAACTCAAGCCACTGTTTTGCTTTTTCAAATGCAATATTGGATAAATCACTTGTCAAATTTATGTCGGATATTAAGTCATAGTATTCCTTGAAGTCGTTCCATATTTGCATTACAGTTACAGCTGTATCAGAATGTAGGTAGTTTTCCAACATGGAAGGTAGTTTCATCAATAGCAGTTTCTTTTGTGCCCCAACAAGGCTTGTATACTCTAAAACATTGCTGCGAGAACCATCTGCATTCTTCTTGTACCATACAGAAAATGTGACACCAAGTTAATTAACATCATCCACAAATTTCTTTAATAGAACACCTTTAGGCTGTCCCTTTGGTTTATTAAAGTCCTCGATGGCATCCTTTTCCAAAATTTCATCAACAACATTTTGGAGCATTCTATCTGTTAGTCTGAGTAGAAGGTGCAACTCATCCGCCAATACATGATCCAAGTCTATGTTGATCAGGGGAGGGTTAATACATCTATAGTTGGAACTCTTGCATTGGCATTGTTTTTTTATATTTTCAAGGATCCTTTTAAGGGGTTCTGTGTTGTAAAAAAGCAAATCCTTGCTAGTATCCCATCTGAACTGCTTGTGGATTTCACACCACAGACATGCATAGTCTGCAGTTTCGGAATTCAATCCCATGATCATTAGCAAGAATTTGTAGTCCCCACCCAAGAAAAATTCCAACTTTACTTCGTTACCGTCAACAAGCAGGCTTCCTGTCTCAATCAGAGAATTGACTTCATCAAAAAAATCTGGAAGCGCAGTTTTAAGAGTTTGATAATCCTCCTTTCCATTTATAATAGCAACAGTTCTATTGCTCTTAGAGGACATAACATTACCTTGTTGTAGGAGGGCAAATGAAAACATCATAAAGTTGGTCGACCGGGTCATGCGAGCACCATCACCACTCAACTTTACTTGCACAACATTGTCACTCAGATCTGGTTGCTGAGCCAGTAGCTCTTTCATATGTTCTCTCAGAGTGGAGGTAAAATCAAGCCTTGCACCAGGGTAGCCTCGAGTCCTTTCAATGTGATATGTTTTGTTCATATCCGCTCTCAATTGTTTCACCAAATATGATTTTGGTAGATCATCCGATAAAATGGAAACCTCATGATAAAAAGCATCCCCAACACAAAATTTGTCTAAAAGAAAGAGAATTTGTTTAATCCTTTCATTTTCACTCATATTGGAATCACCATGATCTGCAGTGTAATCAAAGGTGAAATTACATCCCTCCTCATCTTTTAGTTTAATTTGGCTTATCTCAAGGCCAAAGCTCTTACAGAACCATAAAGCACATTGTGCTTTATTTTTAAAAACCCGTAGTCTCCTACCCTTCTGCTTAGTACCGACTTCATGTATCTTTCTCCCCTGACAATTTAATGAGTCTCTCTTTTCAAGTGTTTCAACATAATCTGCCAACTCTTGGTTTATGAACTTCAGGTCAGATATTTCTTGTTCCATTTGATCTTTCTCCTTAAAGTGCCTATGACACGAAATTTCACCCTAAAGGTTTATGGTTGCATTGTAAAGATCACTTAAAATGACTTAATAATTTCTTTTATAGAATTTTTGGAACTTGCTCCCTTTTCAAGATATTCAACTTTGTTTCATATGCAAATATCACCGGTGTGACATCACATCGCATAATGAGTTTTCAGAATAGTAAAGTTTTCTTGACGAATACGTATCTAAAAAACTTAAAAATTGCCCTTGTTTATGTATCAATTCCATAACTGGTAATTAACCCTCTGTATTTGTTTGTAAAAATATTTTATCAAGGTAAAACATTGCGTTTTCAAAATGTCATTATGCGATGTGATGTCACACCGGTGATATTTGCATATGAAACAAAGTTGAATATCTTGCAAAGGAAGCAAGTTACCAAAATTCTATAAAGGGGGTTGTTAAGTCATTTTAAGTGATCTTTACAATGCAATCATAAACATTGGTGGTGAAATTTCGTGTCATAGGCACTTTAATCATCTCTTCTAAAAGCTTATTTTTCTCTTGTTCAAAATCACTAAATTTCCTTTTATACTCTTCAAGCTCATCGTTACTTTTACTTGCTTCAGATTTGTAATGGTCAATTGACTCTGTCTCTCCCGTTTCACACTCAGTTTATATACTTTGTCATCTAGCAATGCTCGCTTTCTCCCCTTTGTTTTTCCAAAGGCAACCTTTATAGCTGCCGACTGCTTCCGAAGCAATTCCTCAATACGTTCGCTCTTTACCACAAACCATGCATCCGTCGCGGTTGAATTCAGAAAATCAACAAAATTTACATTTTACCCGGAAGTATTTTGTCGAAGGTTGTTCCACAAATGCAGTAAAGGCCTGCATGGAATCTCCACCCAGAACAAAATCTCGTTGGATAAATCCACTTGCCGTTTTACATAACTAAGAGGGGCTTCAGCACTAAATCTTAATTTCCAATCTAACTTTCTTTTCTTGTAATCTTCAAGTACCTCTCACATTTTGATTTACCGCGATTTGAAAATGCCGCGAAATATATTTACGCAATTTACGAAACGAACACGAAACGAAGTCACGAAATCACGCAAATCACTCCTTTTTTTAAGTAGAAGACTGGGGACTAACCCTGCATGTAAACAAAGAACATGGCTGCTCGTAACAGTAAAAAATTCTATACCATGGCTTGCCTTTTTTTTACTCCAAAACAGATTTAATGACTCTATACTGACAATATTATCTACTACAAAAAGTCGTATTTTCAAACGATTTTGGAACCAGTTTGCCCTGGAATAACCTCCGTTTTTTTAAGCAATAATAACAGTTTAAACATCGCCAAGTTCATTGCGAGCTCCGCAGTTTGCATCGCCCGAAAGGATGTTGGCCTATTCTACGAAGTTTTGCACCATGTTTGACCTAATTACTATAGATTACACTATGGAATGCATCGAATTGGCAGAAAAAATACATCGATCTCGGGAACCACCTAGACGTGGAGAGATGTTAGCAATTTTTGTGTACAAATATTGCTTATATATGTCGCTGCTATTATCGAGCTCCGCAACGATGAAATATTTACACAAAGTAGGTGAAAATTTGATATTTTTATAAACTGCTATATAGTTTATAGTAAGATTTGGTCGCCATCCAGATGATCTTGATACGCGGAAAAGTGCTGGCACTAGTTGTCAAATAAAAATCCATTTTATGATTAAAACAACTGAATATCTCCTGTAATATACTTTATTTCGATTCCATATTTTTGTCAGAGCTATAGTTCTCATAACCAAATATAATTACAAAATTTCAACTAGTTTCATAAAGAATAACGAAAGATATAATTGACTGAATACATCAAAATGGATTTCTATTCGGACAACCCTTTCTGAGCACTGATTGGCTAAAATGCGAACATGAGATCACCTGGATATTGGAGCAATATGCGCATGTCTGCAGCCATCTTGTCCCATATTTCTGGTAATGAAGATTTGCGTCAGGGTAATTTTTAAAAAGCATGCGGCTTTTTTTCATTATTCATTATTTTTTTTGACCATTCTTTTGGGTGGTTGCAGCACTGAAAATATGTGTGCCAAATTCGCCATTTCGGTGAATATAATTTGGAATTTCATAGAATGTTTATACTGAGGACAAACATATTGCAATATGTTCATTTCATTTTAATCAATACACAATTTTATTGCTACTTTTATTAAGTTTTGCTTTATCAGTTCTTGAAAATAATGAATTTTTTTGTAAATAATGAAAATTTTAGGCGGTAGCTTTTGAGGCATGCGGGCGGTGGAAGCAAATCTATGACTTTCATTCCCACGACCCCTTACTCTAAAATATGTTGTTTGAGTTGTTTATAGACTATAGTTATAAGTAATGCAATTTTACGCCTTGTGATTAATATCTAAAAATTTTCCTTATGATTTTGTTCGAGGGACAGTGAAGGAACTCAAGTCTTTTGTGGACCAAACCATAATCTGTCAAGATATGATCATGATGATGGTCAGGAAGCCTGCTAACTTCAAAGCTACAAAATAGAATACTTAGTGTTTGATATTGGACTGTACCGTACTGTGCACCTTCATAGATTTGGTTAAACAGTCTTTAGATGTAGCAAGAATATTTGAAATTTAAAATGTTTATTTCGTTGTTTTGAAATTTATTTCGGAGTTGTATAAGTTTTCTGTACAAATGGAGGGTGTGCTCATCGACCCATGGTCAGGGTACGACCGCTGACCAAGTCCGTAATCATTTCTAACTATTGAGGGGTATTATTGTGGTTGTGGTGACAGGATATTGCTTTTCCAAATTTAAAAAAAAAAATGATGAAATAACCCCCCACCTTGCACCCCTTTTGCCAATGTTAAGGGGGTGCATCCCCCTGGCAGTAAATACATCCCTGCAGGATTGCAAGTGAAATTTGGCTTCTTTTCCCCCATGAAAGCTTAATCCCCCTATTGTTAAAAACCTATTTTTTTGTTTGACCTGTCGATAAAATAGTTGCTTCAAACATCTTGGAACCAGACGTTAATTATTCAGATTCACTTGCTTTTGCTGGTAGGGTTTATTCTTTAATATTTAGATATAATTCATTGACTCGTGTACAGTGCAGTTCCTTCCTTCGTCTAAAACATACTAGAACTTAATAACATTTGTCATATGAACTTAAAAATTCTCATTTTGTTTTCCTTTACAAACAAGTTATCGATGAATGCACAAAGTTGTTAAAATTTGCTATTTCCTCTTCGAAACAAAATTGTTCGCTCCTGACAGCCGCCATTCTACATACACTGAAATACAGAATTCTTCAAATTATGCACATACATATGCATAAATTTAAATATTAACCTTGACGTCACGGACAAGAAATGTTAACCATTGACCCAGCCGTTATGGGGGCGAGTGCCGAGAACCCAACGGCTGGAATGTGAGCCTAATTTTTTTTGTTGATGTAGGCAACAGTGGCGTCGCCAGCTCGATAAGTGGGGGCGTATTCATATATTCGTATTCACAGACCGTAAAAACAATCAATTTCAAAAGAAATTAATAATGCAGAACACGAATATATGAATATGCCCCCCCCCCCCACTTATCGAGCTGGCTACGCCACTGATAGGCCATATAGACGGTGACGTCATGTTGTCATGGTAACGTGAAGACTAGCGATTGTAGGTTAAAATTACTCTTTGGTATAAGAGGAAACAATGGCTTGTGCAAAAATGTAGGGTTTTTTTAATTCAACTGAATAGCTTTCTGTTTAAAACACTGACATATATTGGAAACTGTACGGACCTCTTTAAACATTTCATATGTTGCACGAAGTGAAGAAACCAGCTGGAAAACGTGACATCAAAAGGGTCAAATGACTCAACTAATAGTAAATGTTTTCGAAGAACGGATCTGAATGAATTGAGCCTTGCCGAGTTCGGCTAGGTTTTATAAGTGATTTTTGTACATATATCGAATTTATTTATTGATGTATATAGATTTAATTGCATGAATTCATTCAATTATTTGTATAAATTCAGTGGAAATTTCAAATATTTGGTTGGACAATAGACGGCATGGTTGATTGAACACTGAAGTATTATGAAAATATCAAACGACAGCGCATCATGGCGCCCACTGCTCGGTATCCGATTATTTTCCGACGGCTCCCGAAAAAAACCGAGAATAATATTTAAAAAATATTTTTGTTGGCCAAAGTTCAGGGGCGGGCGGCGATGAAGAAAAACAGAAATATTTTTTAATAGGCCTTATTATTAGCATGACAAAATTACTGGATGCAGATTGGTTGAGAGGAGTACAATTATTTCGTTAATTGTACTGCAGTACAATTAATGATTAAATGATTTTCCCACAACCAACAAAATGGCGGGAAGGTATTTTAAACACAAGCGTGAAATTAAATTGCCCTAGCTAGAGGAACTAGATCAAAATACGAACAAACGCACCAACTGATTTTCCTTTAACAAAAGAACTAAATGAAAATGCGGACAAAAGCACCAAATTTTTGTTGAAAATCTGGCACGGACTGGGCTTTGGCGAGAGAATATGGTGTTGACATCAAGAAATATCCAATTTTGTCATGCTAATAAAAAACAAGTACGGCGGCTCGTCCAATTTTGGCAAAATTTCCAAACATCACCCGTACTATTAATCCCTAATTGTACTCGCCATCGCATGATTACCTAATATACTAACCGCGTCGACTATGACACTTTCCTGAAAGGGAAACCATCCAATTCCGTATTGGACTCAATATGATGGGCTTCGCGAGTAACGACTAGCTGGTACAAAAAACACAATTTTTTTGGCATCGACCAGCTAACAAGGCTAACCTAAAGATTGTATCGGGAAAACATCACAATACCAAACGTACCTCAACCGACTAAGTCTGATCTGTCGGTTGAACGTCTGCTTTGACTCCAACGGCGGCATTGACTTCAGGCAGCTTGGATCTGGCAAAATCATGGCATCGT